GTCACGCGCTTGAGGTATTCGGCCAATCACAACGCTCTGGATAGCTGGCCAATCACAGTACACCTCGCTTTTTCAGACCGATGAGCTTTGTAAAAATCGACGCGTTTCAAAAAGGCGGGGCATAGAGGAGAAACAATAATGTACAGTATGTGGAAAATAATGTGTTTTTTTAACTTTAAACCGCATAAACACATTTCATTACACCAAATACACAAAATAATGTTCTTTTTAGCAGCATCATATGACCCCTTTAAAAAACAACAAGGCGCTTGTCGGCTTCTGCAGTAAAACGTGAACTCGCGATGCCTTGAAAGTGGACAAAATCGGCTTTTTTTTTTTTTGACTAAACGTGTTTAAGGTTCAGATTGGGCTATAATGTGGAGAATAATGCAGGGCAATCAGCTCATTTTTTTTGAAAGTGGCGTTTATCGGTTTTTTGCAAACGAACTCTTCATATAGGCCTATATATCACTGTTTTTATAACAAAATAATGTTGAAAAAATGTTTATGCACTATAAGTACCACTGTAATACGGAGGAGTAATTACTACGTTATATAATATATACTAATAATATAATACCGGTATATAATAATCAATTAGATTATATTCATATATCATTTAAATTCATTTTTAAGCTTTTGTTGCATGCATTTTTATTTGTACGTCTAATAAATGCATAGTTTATACACAGAGTTGTTAATTTACTCTAAAAAAGTTTATTATATCTTCAACAGTGTAATTAGTAGCCTACTAATTACTCTCTCTAGGTATTGCATTACTTATTGCTAACTACATTCTAAATGCTATATCAACCTTGACCAGTTGAGCAATACAAGAATGGGTATGAAACTTCTCTTTTAATTCGTTAAAATAAATAATATAAAATTACATCAATTATTCTTGAACTGACTCAAGTATTTAAAGGGAGAAAAACAATTATTTTAACATTAGATGTTAAATCCACTATTGCTTGATGTAGTATTGTTCTATAGTCTATATTTAATGCCATTACATCAGACGTAACTGTAACTGTAGTTAAATTACAATTATCTTGCGTTACTTTTTTCAAGGGAAAAGCAATTAAATCACAGAAATGAATTACTTAGTAATGCATTGCACCCAACACTGTTTATACATACAGTACATATATGGGACATGTATTATCAGCTTTCATATTTGTGACCATGGAGCACAAAAGCAGTGTTAAGTCGCTGGGGTATATTTGTAGCAATATCCAAAAATACATTGTATGGGTCAAAATTATTGATTTTTCTTTTATGCCAAAAATCAATTTACAATTTCGGATGATGTATAAATCTCAATTTCGAAAAATTGACACTTAAGAAGACTGGTTTTGTGGTCCAGGGTCACATTTTTGCGAAGCTCGTAAATGTAAACAGGAACGATACTTCTCCACAACACTAGAGGGCGGTGGCGCTCCGCTAACGCGAAACTACAACGGTGCGGAACCAAAGAAGAAGCAGCCTAGAAAGTCGCGCTATGGTTGCGGCTCTGCGAGGGAATAAATCCGGAGTCAGGCTCATTCACATGTTTGGCGGTCAAGTAGCTATAATATACGACAAGAAAACAGACTGTAGCCGCTATTTTGCGTTATTAGATATTTTATATATAATTTAAGATAAAACGGGTGCGATGTTTCTTAAGGTACCTATTTTAGCTGCAAAAGTAATTTTTAAGCAATTTAACTACATAGTGTTGTCTTTTTTTTAGAAGGCTGCAACTTTAAGTAGTACTAATTACTATTATTTCGATGCACTTTCCCCTCTGACAGAAATGTAAAAACCACAATTCAATGATTTAAAATATCGCTTTACATTGAATCCGGTTCAGTGTCACGAAACCCTGCTATTAGAGATTCAGATCAACAGGGAATCGCTTGAAGAAGTTTCTGATCTGTTTTATGAATCAAATGATAAATCCTCATTGGAGATGATTTTAAATCCGAGATGGCAGGTAGCTTTTCTGAGGCAACTGCAAAACACCTGAACTGAAATGTTTTTGTTTAAACTCTCAGTGAATTTTATACCTGGAGAATATCTGGTTTTAAATGAGTAGAAAAAGATCAGAAGATGATGGCAAATAAACGGGGAATGAGCAGTGGCCCTCAGAGACAGCAAGGGCCCCTGGTGAGGTCAAGGGCCCCGGATGAAGCACTACCCTCGACATCAGCAACAGACCAAAGTATTGTGCATTTCTTTTCTATTTGGTGGCCTTTACAGCTCAGTTTACATACAGTTTTTATAGCACTTACTCTAGTTTGTGGCAGGAAAACAATCATTTGACATAAGAAATATTTTAAAATAATGATAATTTTGTGTGCCAGAATATGCATGGAAAAGAAATCTAATTTTTTTTCCAGTTTTGCCGTTTACAATTGCATGTTGTTTATCAGGCCCCTCATTGCAAACACTGAAAGAGGAGGTTGTCAACTTAATACAGAGCTTTCCGGAAGGAATCGAAGTGTCCGGGTTAATCTTTATGTACAGGAGGGTCTACGGCAAGAGGTTTGGACCTTTAAGCAGTTTTGGTTTGGAAGGCCTTCAGGAGCTTTTTGAAGAGCTCAGTGACCAAGTGCGTGTGGAAAGGATTCACAATAAAAACATAATCAAATCTGTAAACCCTGTTCGCAGGACTCTACAGCTTCCCATGTTTCAAGGTATGAACTGAAAGCATTGCTTTAATTTCCTTGATTGTTTATATGTGGCTGACACTATAGGGATCTGGACTGGTAAACAAAAAATTGACCCCCGTGGGACAATTCATGAACCAAAACCATTCAACACAAGATAAGGAGGATACGTTTATAGTAACAATTATTATTTTCAGTGAATATTTAAAGAAATAGTTCTCCCAAAAATGTAAATTTGTTGAAAATAGAACTGTTGGCAGAAGTTCCCGCTTTTTGGCGTGTTCGCACCACAGGAACTAGCAACGTATGTAAATGATGTAATGTAGCTCACCAATGGATGCTCAGCAGTGAATGGGTGCCGTCAGAATGAGAGTTCAAACAGCTGATAAAAACATCACAATAATCCACAAGTAATCCACAGCACTCCAGTCCATCACTTAACATCTGGAGAAGACAAAAGCTGCATGTTTGTTAGAAACAACTCCATCATTAAGACGTTTTTAACTAAAATGAGTCCATAATCCATAATAACGCTTCTTCCAGTGAAAAGGTCGTCTGGTCTGAATCAGGAGAGAAATCTGCTCCGATCAAGCACCGTTTACAAGCCAAAACAGTCCAAGACAGCTCTCAACGTCTTTGCAACTTTACAGATCTTCTTTATGCACCAAGAGCTTGTAACACTCCAAAGAGAAAGGAAACATTGAAATCGCATCATATGACCCCTTTAAAACGTCTTAATGGTGGATTTGTTTCTTAGAACCACGAAGCTTTTTGCTTCACAGGACATTAACTGATGGACGAGTGGTGTGGATTACATGTGGATAATTGTGATGTTTTTATCAGCTGTTTGAGCTCTCATTCGATTGGTGAGCAAATGATGTAATGCTACATTTCTCTAAATCTGATGAAGAAACAATCTGGATGGCCTGAGGGTGAGAACATTTTCAGCACATTTTAATTTATGGCCGAACTACTCCTTTAAATATTTAGTGATTAAGTGATTTAACATAAATTATTCTTGTCTTATTATGGACTTGTATCTAATTTTTTATCACTAAATTATGTGTTTATATAATCATATAACTCAATATATTGTATCAGCTTTTGTCATTGGCATCCCAAAAAACCCTGATTGAATGACCACTAACGGCAAGTTGCTGTGAATAAAAGAATCTGTTAAACAACAAAAATAACCATTTAAAACAATATGGGAAATGCATTTTAGAAGTGTTTTTATTTTCTCAACAGCTGCAAATTGAGTCAGATTAAGCATACAATGTTCTTACTAAGAATTTGCAGTTAGTTCGTAGTTGATCAACAGTCTTTTGATTTTATTTTCCTTCTTATCCCTTTAATTGGCAAGCCAGTTAAGTATCATGTTTCAGGAAATGTAACAGCGTATGTTATCTCAGGCTCCAGCTGGAAACTGAACCGAACGCTGAGTCACATGACTTCTCTCAGAACACAGAGAGAATTAGATCAGCTGAGAGAGAGAGCGAGTGCATACAGGAAAACGAAACCTAAGCCTGTGGCTCATGCCATCCTCAATCATTCCACACAAACACATCACATGCTCACTGTGTTGATATGAAGTCTTACAGCATTTTAAGCATTTCTAGCGGTCTCTGTTCAAACAGGTAGGATCTTCTTCAGACAGATAATGGTTGCTTTGCTTTCTAGAAATGAGAGTAATACTGAAGGCATTTGCATGACTTTCAGTTTTGTTTCTCATGATGCAGTGCATATTTATGACGAAGGGAGAGACTAGTATAAAACAGCACACACTAAATTAGTCATTCAGTTTGGACAGGCATTCACAGAGTACAAACACAGGGTAAGACCTATGCTATAATTTAAATAATCATTTTCAAATGTTTGTCAGTCTGTTTATATTCCATTCTGTTTAGTGGATTTCAAGAGGTTTATATTGTAGAACTTGGCTTTATTTGTTAACATTAGTTAACTACTAAAACCAAACAAACTGCATTTATTAATCTTAATTTCAACATTTACGAATACATTTTTAAAACCAAACATTGTATGTTAACATTCTTAATAGATTGTAAACTAAAAGAAAATTGTATTTCTGTCAACTGACATCAACAAAGATTGATAAATGCTTGTTAGTTCATGTCATGTTAATGCATTATCTAATGTCAACATCTATCTAATGAATTATCTAATGTGACCTTACTGTAAAGTGTTACCAGTTGTATTTGGTCATAAATTATAAACTGTGTTTCTGTGAGGTGCATTATTAAGTACTGAGAAATTATGTAATCTGTATGTAGTTATTTAGAGAATCCGGTTTTGAAAACGCATTGTTTTTCCTGATTAATTTATTATATTTATAACTTTGACTCTAATATACAATATATTAGGCATTAATTATCATCCCAAGCCATTCTTTGCTGTGTTTTAAGAATTGATTTTCATCACTTAAGGCAAAGTTTGATGTCAATGATCATTTATCTTTTGGAGAGAAACAAAAATGTATTGGATTTATGCTTTTTTTGTATCATTGCTGACTTTGTCTCTGAGGAACTTGATATTCATAACATTTTTTGAAGATAATTGCCAAATGATTATTTATTTAGGTCTAAACAAATTCTACTCTGAGTAATGTTTGTACTGTTTTTACAGATGTAAAAATGGATGACGCTCCTAAGAACGCAATTCGTAAGAAAGTGATCAAATTTTGATTTTACAGTGTGACTTCTAGATTCATTTTTTCCATTAATGTAACTAAGAAATAGCTGTTTTGTAAAGGATTTCTCAAACGCAGCCCTGTAATACAAACAGAAGTAGTGGATTCCTGTTTTGAAGGACATTACACAAGGAAACGGCATTTTTGAGAAACAGATTAAAAGTAGTCTAATGTTAACCTGAGTAGGATTGAAAGTAGTGAATCACTTGTTATACTGTCAGGAAAGCCTACTTCCAATTCACTTTTCATGTCACATTTTTTTTTTTTACAGGTGAAGACTTTGAAAAGAGATGCAGAGATGTTGTGGATTTGGTAAAAAGCCACCAGGAAGGCATTCCTCTTTCAAAAATAGCAGTATTTTATAATAGCGAATATGGGAGGCCTCTGAGAAAGAAAGAACTTGGGTTCTCCTCAATAGCAGATTTCATTGACTCTCTCGACCAAGAGCTGTGTGTGGAAAATGGCCAAATTTTCTACAGGATTGCAAAGCCTGAAGCTTCGACCCATACAGGTAATGATTTGTTGCTTATGATGCAATATAATAGTTCTGTCATTCACTCTCATGTGGTCCTCATTTGTTATTTATGCTTTTCTCAGCACCACCCGTGCATGTTGATGGGGTTTTTAAAGACGTTGTGGAGCTGGTTAAGGACCATCCCACAGGCCTTCCTCTTAGGAAGTTTTCTATGTTTTTCAATCAAAAGTATCGGCGTAACCTCGCTGTGTCAGAGTTTGGTTTCAAAACAGTCGCCTCCTTCATTGATTCTCTGAGCGATGAGCTATTGGTGGAGAAAGAGAGAATCTTCCACAAGAGTCACAGAGCAGCACCTGCAGTCCCAACACCTGCACACCTACCAAGAGTGAACAATGACTCGACACCTGCGAACCCAACAAGCCCTGTAGTTAGTTTTGGAGCTGAATTTGCTCAAAGAGGTAGTGAAATGACACAAGAGGAACTGATGGATAAAGTTAAAGAAGTTATAAAAAAGTATCCAGCTGCAAGCCATTCCATTATTGAATTGCAGAATGGCTTCTTCCTCCTCTTTGGGTCGGCACTTCCATTAGATCTCTACATGTCATTGTATGACAGTCATACAGCTAAACCACTTTCTTCCTCTTGTCTTGTAAAAAATAAACCAGCAGGAGCAAAGTGCATTGAAAGTAAGAGAATATCCTTTTTTTGTTTTTAAAGTTAATACATTATTCCATGTTCTTAAATCTTAAAAAAAAAAACACCTTATCCACTTTATTCTTGTAGCAGCACAAAAGAAGATTGTTGAGGAAGTAAAGAAGGTTCAGCCCATGCCCGTTGCGGTAAATGAACAAGTGGTCCGGTCCAAGGCAGGATCCCCTTTGCTTCGGTTTCAAAGTTTAACCGTCCCACCCATGGAAACCCCTAGTAATCTGTCCACTAGTGACTTCCCAGTTCTTGGTACTATGCTGTCCAAAGCTGGGGAGAAGAAGTTGAAGGAGGGAAGGGGGCCTGTCTTCAATGAGTCCTACTACAGCCAAGTGAGAGAGGTCCATGGTGCTAACATGAGGGCAGCAGAAGCCTTGCTGGAAGATGAAGACAATGTTGGGAGACGGAGAAAGGCCATGAGCTCAAAGGATGTGAACTGTTTGGTAGAGGACGTCATGAGAGCCCTTGCAGCCGAAGGAGAGCTTGTCACCATCGAGAGGGTCTGTGTCTTGTAAAATAACAAACCAGAACAATTTTTTGCTCATCACAATGTCAAAATATCTAAATTTTGTGTTATTGTGAAGGTGGTCAGCAGAGTTTGTTCACTTCTACAAGTGTCCAACTTGTTGAAAGATATGAATATTGACGCTCGTCGGCATCTGCCTGCAGTGCAGGAACTTCAGCGCAGCATCAAGGAGATCAATATGTATATTGAGGTACATGGTCTCGAACAACCTCCTGGTGTAGGTTTATGATCTGATTGACAGGTTTGAAATGGTGTCTTCACAAACTTGTGTTTCTTTCTAAATCAGTCAGTGGAAGCGGTTTCCTCTATATGCACGATTTACGAATTGGGACAGGCTTTGGCCAACCTGAAGAACAAGAAACGCTTTGAAGAACTCCATCTGGGCCCTCTCTGCAAGATCCCTCTTATTCACCGAATGTTCAGAATAGATGCAAATACTAAAGATGATGATGTACATCAGATTGCGACAGTGGATATTCTTAGGGTGAGTCTGGTTGGGACTGGCTGCGTATTTGACCATCCTGCAACATACCCGAGAGGAGGAGTACATCCACTTTGACATGACTCACTCTCACTCATTGAACGTTATGGTTTTCTGCTTGTTTTAGAGTCTCCGAATGTTCAGGAGAAAAAGCAAGACGCCTAGAGTTGACCTTGCTGACTTCCTGAAGCACCTTGCAGACCAGTACAGCTGTGAGTCACCGTATGAACTTGGCATCAGAATCCAGAGTCTTGGGTTGCCTATTTCGGTAAGATTTGTTGTTACCACCCCTCTTTCAGAAGTGTATGATTCAGTATTGAAGGTTCGGTCCTCAAAGCACTGAAAATACACCCTTAAACATTTTCCCAAAACTCTGGAAGATGGAGATGTGACCAATGACCTTATTGGTTACCAATGGTCAAGGGTAGCCAACCCTGCTCCTGAAGGGCTACCATCCTACAGAGTTTAGCTCCAAATTTAATCAAATACCTGAACCAGCTAATCAAGGTGGATTACTTGAACATTACAGGCAGGTGAGTTGGAGCAGGGTTATATCTGAAGTCTGCAGGAAGGTAGGCCTTCAGGAACAGAATTGGCTCCCCCTGCTCTAGGGAAAATCACACAACTTTGCTCGACACTCTTACCCCTTTTTCACTGACATGGTTCACGTTCCTGTGCCAATCCTGGCTCTCAGCCAGTTCTCAGCTGGGTGCACTGGAGCCTACTGAGAACCGTCCACGAGGTTCCACAGACTTAAGAAATAGGCAGTGACGTAACTGGTTTCGTTGCTATGTGTTTTTTACGTCTGTGTGTTGCAGGTCAGTGTTCAAGTACACAGTCCAAAACAATTTTATTGTTTTGTCCACTTGTCTTCCACATTTGTTGGGTTCTTTTTTTTGGTGCTTGTAGTCCTATGTGGAAGACAGGAAAGTGGGTGGTGGGGTGGGGGGCTTGGGATCGGGATAGGTCCCCAAACCAGGACTCAAACTTGGGACGCCCGAAGCGCAGTGGCACTATATGTCAGCGCACTGCCCACGAGACAATAGGCGCCAGTTTGCTAGGTTGTCCGATTGAAACCAGCATTAGACATTACTTTTTTCCTTTTGTGAGCTCTCTAAACAGTGCACGTTTCCTCCAACTGACATTTTGCATGTTTTTACGATGTTCTCCCTAGAGATGTTAGCACAACAATTAGGAAATCACAAATTATTCACAAATGTGCTGCTTTTCTCTGCCCCCTTCCCCCTACATCACTAGTTCTGGGGTTCCAGTCCATCAAGTTTTTAGGGCTGAAGTTAAATCGATCTTTCCGGCCCAGAACTTTCTTTTCTGCAGTGGAAATAGACACTGGCCAGGAACCAGAACCATGTATGTGGAAAAGGGGTACCGAACCGTGATGAGCAAAGTGATACAAACCATAAAAAGCTCAAGTGCTGTTGAATTAAATGCCATGGAATGAGCAACCGATCAATTTTGAGGACCAGAACTAACTGCTTTATAATGCCATGCATGCTAAATCCAGCAACCATATTAAACATACTTTACTGCATTGTTCTCTTGTTTTTCCACATATTGTGTTCTTAGACGTTGAATAAGGCATCTGCTGCTGAGTTTTGCCACATGGACACAGCCAGAGAAGCCATTCAGAAGGAGATTCAGGAGGAGGTGGATGCCAAAATGTTTAAGATCAAGAAGAGCCTGCTGGATCCAGCCCAAGGACCTGTGATCTTCTCCCAGATTGGCAACTCTGAGCTGAGGAAAAAATATGTAAATATGACCGCCACGGATGCAGTCATGGAAGTCTTCATCAATTCTGAAAGTGTCTTCAATAAGAGTATGACAAAGGTAAGCAACTTAGAGGCAATGTCGGGAGGATCCTTATCTAGTCTGTTCAAAACAAGCTCACCCATTTTAAGAGTTTGCAGACTGGTTTTTCTTGTGGTTTGATGTGTTTTAATCGCAATGGAAACGCCTACGTGACTGCTTTTCATGGGTGGCTACTTGCTTAGTATGATCAATAGTAATAGAAATGTTTTTTTTTTTAGTAGCAGTGCTTGGAAATCATCTCTTATTACTACTGATCATACTTTAGGGCTAGACGTTTTTTCAAAACAGTGTTGTAGTACTTTAGACTAGACAAACCAAACTTTAGTCTGAGTTTCAGTAAAGACAGTACAAGTCTTAAGGTCTAACTGATTCATAGTGTAAATATGCTTTCCATTGTGGTAATTAAAGACCGGTTTTGCATCAGTGTCATGTGAAACTTACGATACCACTGAGCAGAGTCTAAGTCAAGATGACTTGATGAAAAGACAACGAACATGAAAGTAGGTTTTGGATTTGAACTCGAGACGGACTCGAGATTGAGTACTACAACACTGATGACTAACCTGGGCTGCGTTTCTCAAAAGCCTTGTAAGCCAAGTTGATCGTAGAGACCATTGGTTCTCTACTTGGGGTTATGATGCTTTTGGGAAACGCAGCCCTGAGTAGTAAACATGCAGGTGCAAAGCTACAAAAATTGCAACCACCCTAAGATATAGATTTGCATAGGCAAACACAAAGCAGTTTTGGTGCATTTAGTTTAGAAGAGCTTTTATGTCATGAGTGTGCTGATGATGCTAAATAACCTTCCCTTGCTGGACATGAGCATTTCTCTTTCTAAAACAAGGTTGGGTGCCCATTTATAATTATCCCTAATGAGATTCTTAAAGGGATAGTTCACCCCAAAAGTAAAGTTCTTGTGATGTCCACCAGAGTGTGTTTTACCATGTTTTTTTTTTTCAGTTGTTTTCAATTGGCGCTCGTCACTGTCCCCTTTTATCCAGCTGTCCAATTACAGTAGGAGAAAAACGGGACAAATATCACACCAACCAACCGTCACTTGTAAAACTAATGAACTGCAATGGAGGAGAAGTTAATATTGCTTGTTTCCAATTATTAATGTCTGTACCAGATGAAATCCCGGACTACCACCAATATTGATATGAAAAAGAAACATTGCTTTCGCCATGCATCTGTCACATTACATCCGATATTCTTTTTCATAGCGATCTTATCATTCAGCTGGCTGAAAATGCTTTGGTGGAAACGCAACCTTGCTCTTTCTCATGTTGTTCTAAACCCATATTAAATACATTTGACTTCATAACACAAAAGGAGAATTTTTCACTTGGTCTTTGCAATTACTGGAACTGGGACTAAAGCTTTCTGTAGCTTTCGAGCTTCAAAAAGTGTGTGAATGATGATAGGATTTATATTTTTGGGTGAACTGTTCCTTTAAATAGTGTCTCTCTTATTTCATGCTACGTTCTTGGTAATTGCAGTGGTAATTCCTTCTAGCTGTTTAAGGATGTAAACGGGTGGCAGATGAGAGTAGGAGAGGGATCATCCGCTCTCTTTATTAATGAGATGTCATGGTCATCATCTGCTAATCTCACCCAGAAATGTGTCTCCCAATACTTGCATCATTAGTCCTTATGTTGCTCCTGCACTCAATGTTTTCACTGACCTTTCCTTCTTTATTCACTTTGAGGGATTAGCATGTGATTGGGTCATTTCTGGTGGTGCACGTCCATGAATATAATCATGCCACTTCTGCTCTGGTTTGATGAATTGAATCCGACTGAGAATATTGAATGAATGTTCATAATTTATTCATTTTCAACGGTTCTTTCATAACTGTTCTGGAAGCAACTGATTGTGTTTTTTTTTGCGCCCTCAGACTATTCAGACGTTCCTGTTATGTGTAAAAGTGTCTCTCTTATTTCATGCTACGTTCTTGGTAATTGCAGTGGTAATTCCTTCTAGCTGTTTAAGGATGTAAACGGGTGGCAGATGAGAGTAGGAGAGGGATCATCCGCTCTCTTTATTAATGAGATGTCATGGTCATCATCTGCTAATCTCACCCAGAAATGTGTCTCCCAATACTTGCATCATTAGTCCTTATGTTGCTCCTGCACTCAATGTTTTCACTGACCTTTCCTTCTTTATTCACTTTGAGGGATTAGCATGTGATTGGGTCATTTCTGGTGGTGCACGTCCATGAATATAATCATGCCACTTCTGCTCTGGTTTGATGAATTGAATCCGACTGAGAATATTGAATGAATGTTCATAATTTATTCATTTTCAACGGTTCTTTCATAACTGTTCTGGAAGCAACTGATTGTGCTTTTTTTGTGCCCTCAGACTATTCAGACGTTCCTGTTATGTGTAAACAGAGACAGGCTCGCTAGAGCCTTATTCCAGCTTGCTATATGCTGTGGCTCCTTGGACGCCCCTCAGGACCTGGTAGCTAAAGAAAAACCACAGAAAAAAGCAGAGGCAAAGAAAACTACAGAAGAGAGAGCCATAGAGATGCTCCCTACTGAAGGTGTCCACTTTTTAACTTCATTAGTTTTCTGAATCTCCCCTTTTAGTTTTAGCACCATCCACAGTATGACCCCAAAAGGACAGTATGATGACATTTACAGACAAAAATCGCAAGTGATTTTTCTAATTTCTGGAAAGCCTATTAAAATATATAAATTAATACATTATAATGTATTAATTTATGTATTTGAATATAATTTATACATGGACTTTATGCTCTAAAAAAATTAATTATTTTATTTCAATTTTTTTTATATTTAACATAGCTTTTAGTTAAAATAATAACTTTCCATGGACCTTTTGTTCTAAAACTGAATATTATTAAAAATATTTAAGAACAAAAGGTCCATAGAAAGTTATTTAAATTATAAGCAATGTTATAAAATAAATTAAAATAACATTATAAAATAATTAGATTTTTTTAAGAACAAAAACTCCATATAGAAATAGTTTTAACTAAGAAAAAATATTAAATATGAAACAAAATTCAAATCACAAATTACTATTATTAAATGTAATTTTTTTTACAAAAAAAAAGGTTAATGGAGAGATGATTTTAACCAGTAAAAGTGTTAAATATAAAAATAAAAATATAAAGTTAAAATTATTAAAATGAGCGTTTTTTTTTTTTTTTGGATGAACAAAATGTCAATATAGAGATATTGATACTAGGGCTATCAATGTAACTTGCTCATTTTTTAATTTTGAATTTATTTAAAAAATTTAAATGCAATTACATTTTTAATGTATTTGTACATTTTATTTTTTTAAATTTGTTAAATGAATGCATTTAATCTGTCACATGAATAGAATTTTTTGTACTAATACTGAATAGAATACATGAATAGAAATTTTTGTAATAATGTAGGGTTTTTTGCCTTTTTTTTTTGGTGGGCTTTTCTTGGCAGTTTTTGTTGATATATATGATTTAATTACAGTTAATGTGATGAATTAATCAGCATATTCTAAAAAATATTGCAATACAATTTTAATCAATTGATAGTCAATTTAAAATTTGTCACACTCTTTGAATTTTATTGTGATAAGTTGCTTGCAGTTGCTTTGTTCTTGATGTAAATCTGTCTTTTTTCCTATTGCGATGTAGTTTTACTATATCTAAAGTATCCATGTTTGTTCAAATTTCCACACTTAAATCCATATACATTATTGCCTGTTGTGTAAAATTTAATCTCTGAGCTGTTCTCATGTGGTGATTTTTTTTGCGTAGCTGACGTGAAGAGCTATTTTCAAGAGTGTGTCACTCATTTCAAGAGCACACCTACTCTGGCCCACCTTCGCACTCTGGAAAAGAGGATTGCAGAGAAATTCAAGTTTAAAAACTTCAGCCAGCTGCAGCAAGGAACCTTCCTTGATTTCATTTTCAACAACAAAAAGGTGTGCGTTTCTACTTGTGTGAGGTTTCTCATGGCGCGTGTCTGTTATAGCATAACTTGTTTTGGTCTTGGCGCAGGTCCTGCAGGAGGCAGCAGGGGGCGCCGTCTCCATCGACAGCCAGGATCCAGGAATGAACGGCTTCAGACCTTGCAGACAAGATGTGTTTGAGTTCATCAAGCAGTGCGGGGAGGGAGATGACAGCAGAGTGAGTTTTGAGGTTTTTTTTGTCATGTAAACGTCAGATTAACTGTAGTAATATTTCCAGATGAGCACTTACTGGACTGAAGCAGCTCAGCTTCACTTGATTCTCCATCAATTATTTTTGTAGAAATATCTCAGATCTGATCATCAGGATCTTTTGAGGAGCGTTTGTTTCCAGAAGCTTTACTTTCACTGTTCCTCAGCGGAGGAATGATCTTCACAAGCCTCCAGAACATCTCACATCTTCTGAGGAGCGTTTATTTCTTCATCTCGCAATCATCACTGGATTGCATTGCATTATATGTTTGGATCATTTAAATTTAAAAACATATTAATGGAGATATATAGAGTACTGACTGATTTATATCATTTTAAGTATCTGCTATACTGTTATGAAGATCTCATTGATTCACAAGCATCAGAATTTCATCATATAAATATAAGCATCTTCACCAAATTGCATATTTTTGCTCATTTTGAATAAAGTTGAGCTGTTTTTCTCAGTAAATCAGACTAAACAAATCATCAAACACAAATGCAAACTTAATTTTTTTTTTAGATTTTGTGTAAAGGTTCAATAAACTGTTCCATCTAAAGAAAAATGGATTGTGATTTCATATGTCAGGCTTTACAGGGTTAAACGGGTTAATTGCAGCAAAAGTACAGTTACAGTACATATGGGAATGAAACATGTCTGTGTTTTTGTTCTGGATCAGCTGCCGTTCATTGAAGCCGCTCTGAGGAATCATTACCGGATCAGGGATAGCCGAGAGCTCGGTCACGGGCCCCTCAGTTTTCTTGTCAATTGCACGCAGAAGCAAAAGGAACTAAGCGGAGACGCTGTCACTAGTGTGGTACGCTATGAGTGTCCTCTGCTGCCCATGGGTTCAGGGTAAGACCGTTCAAATCTCTACTTTTCATCAAGTCCTCAGCTGTCTCTCTGCACAACTCTGTGAGCTGTAAATAGACGGCTGTAAAACTAGTTCAGAGCAAAGCCCGGTTTCCTGGGTTTAGTTGGTGATTTTTCTCCCACCCCCAGCCAAATTACCTACTGTTTTTTTACAAACACCAATGTCACGTGGTAATTTAATTGCTGCCCAAATCCACACCTCTGAGTTTACAAGAAGAAATCGATTCAAAATTCACTGTTTAAATCCTTTTTTGACTACCGCCGGACACTGTACGGTAACTGTTGCACTTCACTGTAATTTGCTTGCATGATTTAAAAAAAAAAAAATTTTTTTTTGGGGGGGTGGCTGTTTTTCCTTCTGGACAAAATGTTAAATATAAAAATAAATGAAAAATTTTAATACTTTAAAAATAAAACTAGTATAACAATTTACAATATTTTATTTAAGAACAAAAGGTCCATAGAGAAGAAGTATTGTTTTAATAAGGGCTATCAATATAACATGTTAATTTAGTATGTTTTATTTAAAAGAAAAAGCTGTGTGTTCAAAAATTTAATGCATTTAATCTACCACCTAAATAGAAACCTTTTGCAGAGAAATGTCGTATATATTATTTCTAAGCTTTTGATATGTGATTTAATTGCAGTCAATGTGATTAGTTAATCGGCATATTATGAGAAATTTACAAGAAACGTCTTTCAAAAACATGTCTTTTATAAGCGTCTTACCGAGCCCAACCATTGAACAGTACTGTATATGTGTATATAGCATTTAGTGTGTGTGTATATAGCATATAAAGATAAATTAAAATCTAAATATTTAAAAAATAAAATGAAATCTAATAATTAAATTACTTTTTTTTTTTTTTTTACAAAAATTCTGTCTCGTATCTAAACCTTTGTTTGGAAGTGTAGCTGGAGAAATTATTAACATGCATGTTGTTTGGCTGGAGACTCATGATTGTGTGTGTTTGATCTCAGGGAGTGTGTGGTGGATTCCGTGGGTTTGCTGGGCGAGGTGAGCCGTGATCAGGCACGGGCGAGTTTGCTGTCGGCTCCTCTGCTGCAGGATCTGGAGGAATGGAGTCAGTGGCAGCTGGTGTTTCAGCCCAACCACGGCCCTCTCAAAGACTTCATCGACAAGTACTGTGGTGCGTCACCTCGCCAGAAGCGTGTTTCATAAAGAAATAAATGAACATTCAAACTGTGATCTAGGGGTGTGCAATGCTCCTATGATGTTTTAACTGTGTGGAAGCTGACATTATGGTGTCAAAAAGCAATCAAAAATACACCATGATATAGTGGACATTTTCACTGTGTGACTAGAAGGACATCACAATTCAATACACGGGAATTTTCTTATATTTCCATGCGATATAGTTAAGCAATATCACACGAGGAAAGAGTGCTGTAAGTATTGATTTTATACAACAGTTCAATAAACAAGAAGCTCATTGTGTGTTAGATTTTAGACACGATATATATTTTTTTTTCGCCAAAGAAAATATTTCCAAACAAAGTCACAACAGAACTGCTGTGTGTCTCTGAGCAACACACAGCGGGGTTACGTTCCCAACTCAATGATCCATTCATAAAGACGGTCACTGAAGGAATCAGCCACTTAAACAAATGGTTTGAGTGAATGATGCAATGGCTCACTCATTAATACAGTGATTTGCAACCACCTGCTGGCGGTTTTTTGTTCATATTTAAAGTATCGTTTCCTATTAAAATAATTATTTCATGTATTTCAATATTCAAAATATTATTTTTAAAACATTAATCGAATAGCATTATTTATGCAGTTGTAATTGCAATACTAAATGCTGCTTTAGATCACTTCCGCAGTGCAACAATGGATTTTGTCGAGACTGATTTAATTATAGTTTCCTATTAAGCTACTCAGGGTTATTATACTAAAACACCATTAAAAAAATTATTTACTTGAAATAAAATTATGAAAAATTATTTATGAAAAAAAAACTTAAACTAATTTATGTTAGTAAGTTACATTTTCTGTAAGGAAATATTTCTTATTTTGTTTACCTCGATGTTCTAAATAACTAAAACTGAAATGTAAATAAAAATGAGTAAAAACTATATAGACATAAAAAAACAAATAAAAACGATAAACATGACAAAATTGAAATTGAAAGCAACATATAAAAATAAAAACTAATTCAGAATAATAACAAAACCTGTAGTATTATCTCAGTGATACTAAAATAACACAGATTCTAATTGAATTTATTGATTAGATATAAGAATTTGATACAAAATATGATTAATCTAATAAAATTAGAAACAATTGCCCATATAAACGTAAAAATGCCCATGGAAATTATTTTAAGGTGTCAAATATCGCCATGTAAAGTAAAAAAAAAAAATTATTTAGTTAAACAATTTCTGTCTCTGCTGTGAAATAACCATCGCACAGAATATAAAAAATATATAACAAGCTTGTCCACAACAGGCCTAAACCAGCACAAAAACTGGTTTGCCAGAAAACAAAATGCCAGAAAATATCGGAGATTAATTTTTTTTGCAGAAGACTTCTGATTCTCACTGCAGTCTTCATGTGTGCAGGTAAGACGGAGCTGCTGGCTCTCGAGGTTTCTCCCGGCGTCCTGCTGCGGGTCACCGCTGTCACGGGGGACAAACACTTCTCAGAGGCGACACAGGCTCTGGACCCCATCGGCACCGCCGGACACTTGCTCTCCATTGTGGTGGCTTATGGGATCCCAAACACGCCCACAGCGCTCCTGGCCAATCACATGGAGAGCGCGCTGAATGTAGCAGTCGCACAGGAAGGTAGGAGGTTTTCTTCGTCATGCTTCACTCACTGTCCGTCACACGTTGTCCTGAAACTGTTTGTTTATCTGACTTTGCTCCATCCATAAACACGGATGATACTGCTCCTACAGGGTTTCCATGGCTCCGTAAAAAGTCTTAAATTCAGGCGATTTGTGGGTCTTAAAATGTCTTGATTCGCCATTCCACACATTAAGGCCTAAAGAGCTCTTAAATCAGAGCAGGAAGTCTTAAATTCATAAAGTTATAGTTAAAAAGTTAAACGTTGCATACACTGCAAAAAATAATGTCTTTGTCAGCATTTTTTCTTGCTTTCCAGTACAAATATCTAAACATCAAGATACATTTACTTGAGATGCAAAATGAAGATGTGAAGTCTTGTTTTTGGAAATTGAACATAATTGAGTGTGTTTATCTTAAAAAAAGAACAAAAAATATGAAATATGTGACCCTGGACCACAAAGCCAGTCATAACGATTAGTTTTTTGAAATTGAGAATAAATAAGCTTTCCATTGATGTATGGTTTGTTATATACCCCAGCGACTTAAGACTGCTTTTGTGCTCCAGGGTCACATATATTAGATCTTGTTTTCCCATTGAATTAAGTTGATTTGACTAAGCTGATATTTGTAATACTTTTCTGAGAAAACAAGACTTCTTATGTTATTTTTGATGTCGTCTCGATTTAAGAACCTGCCTTTTTATGTACACTAGTCAACATTTGAAGTGGATCAAAACCTTTTTGAACTTTTTTGATCCACTTCAAATGTTTACTACTATATTTTATGCTAATTTATTTTTATGTTTTTAAGACAAATTGCCATGAATATAATCATTGCTGCTGATATAGCAACAAACAAACAAATAAATAAAAAGATGAATATAAATGAAATATGACTAAGCTGATATTTGTAATACTTTTCTGAGAAAACAAGACTTCTTATGTTATTTTTGATGTCGTCTCGATTTAAGAATAGTGCTGTCAAATTGATTAATCGCATCCAAAATAAAAGTTTGTGTTTACATTCTTAAATGTATAGATGTATGTGTTTATATATACATATAAATATACACAGTACACATGCATATATTATGTAAACACAAACTTTTATTTCAAGTGCGATTCATCGATTTGACAGCACTATTTATGAATAGTTAAGCTGCCTTTTGTGTGTGTGTGTGTGTGTGTGTGTAAAATTAATAAAAAATGGGTAAAGTTGCTAATACAACTCATTTTGTGCTCCCTAGACATTTACATTTTGAGAACCTATTGTGTTCCCTTCAATTTTTTCCTTACATTTTCTTTAGCTGGTCTTAAATAGGTCTTAAATTTGCCTTCATAAAACTTGCAGAAACTCTGGTTTCATCAAATTTAAAGCCATCTTAAGTAGTCTTAAATAGTATAACAAAAGTTATAATTTTCATTTTAAGAGGTCTTATTTTGGGGAACGGAAAAACAAGGTCGATGCGATACAGATATGTGATTATTAAACTTTAAAAAGCTGTGATTCAATTAAACACGTTTCAAACAGGATCGCACTTTCAGAGTAGTTAGCAATCAGTGAATGCCTCACTTATGCCTAACGATTGCTTATGATGCACCTTTGAACTGACGATGTTTATGCTATGGTTTTTCTATTATAATATGTTGTAAATGCTTGTAAGATGCATGTTTTACGTCTCATCTTTTTGAGTGAGCAGCTGGAAGTAATAAAACAGACATTTAAAAATAAGAGTCCTGGCATATTTTGGGCTTATTTACGATTAAAAGTCCCTCGTTATGCATTAAATCTTTTTTTCCTGTCTATTACTGGTATTTTGGTTAGACGGTAAACAATATCTGGCATGTAAATCAAGGTAAACTCTCTTTCACATATATTTTCTCTCTGGGTCGCTCTGTCACAGGAAGGAAAGACTAAGAACATTATTTACTTTATGTATATAGATTTTATTGATACTGGCACAGTCATTTTATTGCCTTTCTTTAAACACATTATCGGATGAGTAAAATGCAATATTGATGGATCTCTAATTTGTGTGTATTGAGATATGCGAGCATAAACCAATTTCAATACATAAGTAAATATTGAATAAACATGTCTTGAGTATACCTAGTACTAAATCAAGGAGTTTATTATTGTTTTTATTTTGAGAATAGATATGACCTGGTTGTTTATATAAGATGTCGAATTGGTCACTTAAAACTAACTTATTCATATTTATTGAGAGAAGAGAAACCAGTTTGTGATTTGTGTAAAAATTTCTTGAGTGTAAAACATATTTCAATAGAATGTCCATTTTTGATATTAATGATATTAGACAATGTTTTTATTCAGAAGATATAATAATGGACATTTTAAAAAGGCTTCTCCTGGAATAATTTTAATAATTGTATGTTTTTTTTTTTTTAAATCATACATTTAAATTGAAATATTACACCTAATTGTTATTATTACTATTGCTGTTTTAAGTGTATATTTATAAAATAGGCATGTGTTATATAAATATACATCATTATTTAAAAAATGTTATTATATATTTAAATAAATAAATGAATAAATAATAAAAAAATATATATAATATAGAATTTTATAAAGGGATCGTTATTTATAAATGTCATAATTTACTCATGCTTGTTGGAAGAATTGTTTATTTAGATTTTATTAAGATTATATTAAGATATTTAATTGATTATTAAACCTTAAATAATATATGTAAATATTTATAATGAAACCTAAGTTTCTGTTCCTCTGTTGAAAATCTGTTCCACCAAAGGTGGTGTTAAAAATATTTTTGTTATATATACATGTGTGTGTATATATATATATGTATATGTGGATATAAAAAAAAAAATATATATATATATATATATATGTACACGGTTTTTTTTTTTTTTTAAGAAAAGAACTGAGTAAATATTGATAAGTATTTATTTATAAGCCGATTTTCCTGTCTCATAGTCTCATTTGCTGTCATTAAATTGTTTGTATTTTCATTATATCAGGCCATTATGAACACCCATATTGGCAGAGCACTAATGATGATCTGATTCTGTAGTCCGCATCGGGATGTGTGTTTTATGCTTTGGCGGTTCTGATGACGCTGTGCAGGTGTTTTTGGAGCCGCTGTCTAAAGTGCTTGGTCAGACCAGATCGAAAACACTGCTGCTGGACGCTGCACGTTCACACACGCGCTACCTGAACAAACTGCATCAGATGGGGCTCCTGCTGGGGATCACCGAGTGGAGGAGCCACTTCAACGACAAAGTGCTTCTGCCAGCTCCTCCTCAACTGCCTTCAGAGATCAAGAAGGTTTGGATTCCCTTCTAGTCTGTTTGAGCACAACAGTGTTTCCAACTGGATTTTGAAAGCACCAAAATTGGGCTTAATGATGAGCATTTAAACTTTTGGCACCTTTACAAATGCATGCTTTTAAACATTTCCAAAAGGATACGATATACAGTAACAGTCTTCTCATCTCATTTCAAGAACAAATAATCGAAATAAAACTTATAATGAGAAGTGACAAAGGAGAAGGTTTTCTTTCAGAATAAAAGTTTGATTGTTTACAATGCTTGAAAAATTGAAAATGAAGGCGTCCATAAATATCAATATTGTAATTTTACAGTTACATTAATGTAAAATAAAATATAATATTATTCTTAATAAATACTCCTTTTAAAATAATTTTTACAGTGAGACAATACAGTACTAATATTTCAAATTTAGCTTTTATTAATTTTAATATTTTAATTAGTGGTAAATAATATTATATTGTTATTATTTATTTTTCATAGCCATATATATATATATATATATATATCAATATGGCTATATATATATAATCTCAAACTTTTTGACAAATTGTGCAGCTTTTCAATTGTAATTATTTTTTCCCTGCATCATGCAGACCTAATTTCAAGTCATAAATGATATTCTTCAGACAACGCAGAAGCAATGCAACACAACTATATATGTTCATATTTATAGTTTGTTTATCAAACACCTTGCAATCTGTGCAGTTTGTGGTGGAGGACTCCATGAGTGACATGTCTTCAGTGTTGAGTCAGAATGAGATGGATAATGAGGAGGAAACAGAGCTCAGCACTTCCTCCAGCAGCCCCAGAAGAGACCATCAGCAGGGTGAGACTGCCCACTTTTTGATGTTTTTGTCTTTTCTTGTGCATGATTGTTTTATTACACTTTGACATTCAGTTAATTATAATGTTTGTAGTATTTCATAAATGGTGTGATGAAGTCACATGATAAACCTGGAGCTGTTTAATTCTTAGGTTCAGTAAGAGAATAGAAAGTGGTCATGATTTTGGTGCAAAAAAACAGTAAAATTGAAATAAAATAACAATAAAAATGTTTAAAATGTGTAGAAAAAAATGTCTGAAAACTAACTAAAAGAACAATAAAAAAAGTGATTAAAAATGTATGAAAAAATATGGTATGAATTAAAATAAAACAAAGAAAAATGATAAAGGTGTGTAGAAGAATATGGGTTAAAAATAAAATTAAAAAGCTAAAGTGATAAAAATGTGTAGAAAAGTATGGCTTGAAATAAAACAATAAAAATAGAGATAAAATGATTAGATAAAATGTTTAGAAAATGTTGAAATAAAAATTGTGATAAAAACAGGTAGAAAAATGTAGGATAATGACATGAAAGAACAGAAAATAAATAATGCTAAAATGTGTAAAAAATATGGCTTAAAAATGAAATAAAATAAGCACTGTTTTCTGAAAGCATTGTTTCTTCTTTTAGACAGTGATGGTGATGATGATGATGATGATGAAGAGGAGCAGATGTACGAGCTGGTGTCCGAACACATTGAAGAGACGGACAGCAGTGAGGACGAGGACAGAGTAAACTCAACGACTGCTGATCATCCAGATGAAGAAGTGAACGACGAGCTGGATCAGCACCGAGCCGTCATAGAGGACATCAGGTTCATTCAGCCCTTAGTTTACACACTCTTTCAGAATTTAGCTGGGTGCTAATGCTGTTGCTGCTGATGCTGTAGGAAAACGGAGTTCGGCATCGGCGTGGAGCTGAACGAGGAAGGTCAGAACCTGATGAGGAAGCAGCAGGCGAGACTGGGCCGCAGTCTGGAGCGGCTCTCCACTGAACTCTACAGCAAAGACACACACTTCGTGCTGGAGCTCATTCAGGTCAGCAGCAACCTTTGAAACATTCTTAGCAGATCATTCAAATCTGCAGCTGCCATGTTTAGATAAGAAACAGCTCACAAACAGTCTATTTCTATCATACAATAAGTGATATCACACGAGCAGGGAGAGCAGTATTACACTAGTGATGATTTTGTCCCGAATATCACGAGTTTAAATGTGATTAATACAACAGTTCAGTAAATATGAAGTTGATATTGTGTTCTATTTTAAACACAATATTATGTTTTTGCTCCGTTTTGCAAAGAATATAATTACCTTTAAAGCCATAGCAGAATTGTTGCTAGTCTCCGAGCAAAACAGAGGTGTTTAGTTACAGCAAAGACACACACTTCGTGCTGGAGCTCATTCAGGTCAGCAGCAACCTTTGAAACATTCTTAGCAGATCATTCAAATCTGCAGCTGCCATGTTTAGATAAGAAACAGCTCACAAACAGTCTTTTCAATTACACAGTATTATTTCTGTCTTACAGTCATTCATATTATCACAGAAATACTGTGATGAAAGTTTATGATGTTGATGTCTATGGTAGCGATCAAAATAGAGTAAATCACCTTTTGAACTGGCGCTTTAAGTAATGTTTGTTTCGATTACAGTGTTTCGTCACTAGGTGTCAACAAGTGAAAACATTTATCGCAGAATCATTCATTCAAGAGATTCATTCATAAACGCTGAATCATCCAGTAATGAAACAAGTGATGTATTTGTATGAACAAACAATACTGAGATGTTTCTCAAATTATCTTCTTTTATGTTCCATAGGCCGTTGTGGCCTAAATGTTTGTGTAATAAATTGTATGTTGAATCAAATGAAAGATTTCTTTTTAAAGCTACAGTTTGTAATGTCTACTTGATACTTTCTAATTTAACACAAGAGTTTTTGTTTACAAAATATATATGTGTGTACTGTGTATATTTATTATGTATATAAAAATACACACATAAACAGTATATATTTTGAAAATATTTACATGTATATATTTGCATTTATGTAATTTATATTTATTTATAAATATATTTAAAATATAAACAACATATTTCTCTTAAATATATATGTGTATGTGTGTGTATTTATATATACCTAATAAATATACACAGTACACACATATATATTACGTAAACAAAAACTTTTATTTTGGATGCGACTAATTGCGATTAGTCGTTTGACAGCACTAATATTTATATATTTATATAAATGCCTAATAATTCATTCAAAACAATGAAACACTTTTAAATAGACTGCAGCAATTAATATTTTGTCTCACACATTATTTTGTTTAGTTCAGAGTCGTGGGAGAATCGTGATCTCTATTTGAGACGTAAAAAAATCATGATTCTCAGTTTATCCGGAATCGTGCAGCGCTTACTGAAGCTGATGTTTGTGTGTGCAGAACGCTGATGATAACTGCTATCCTGACGGCCGAGAGCAGCCGGCGCTGGCCTTTGTGGTGGAGAAGGACTGCATCACCATCCTGAACAACGAGTGTGGGTTTGAGGAGAACAACGTCCGTGCTATCTGTGACGTGGGCCGGAGCACCAAAGGAAAACACAAATATGGCTACATCGGTACTTTAATTATGTGCCGTTTTGTTATCCATGTGTGGTTGTGCTAAAATGTCTTGGGAACTATTTTGTCCAAAACCTGTTTCGTTCACATTCCACAAACCACAGTCGAAGTGCGTTTGCGATAGGGCTGCACAAAATATCGAAATAAAATCACAAATGTACAGATTATGATCTGCATATCACGATTTTAATATTTCAAGAAGTTACAAAGTAATAAAAATAACAGAATAGACTGGCACATGACTGTTACTTCAGTGCGTATCAGTGTTATTTTAGTATTAATTATATTATAGTTTTTATTCATATTTTGAATAAGTATTTTTATTTTTTCTAATTTCATTTTCATTTTAAAGTTTTATTTTAGTTAGTTGTTTTTGTACATTTAGTTAAACTAAATGCAAATGAGAAATGTTGTCTTGTCAACTAGCTGAAAACTAGCTTATTATTAATTGTTTATATTTCATTTGTTTCAGTAAAAGTTAAATTTTTTTTAAAAATGTTTTATGGTTTTAGTTTTAGTTATAACTATAATAACCCTGGTGCTTATGCGCCGATGATTGTATTAATTGGCTAAAGATCATGAAGCAATCATGTATGTTGGTCAGTTTTTAAATACATTTATATATCAATTAAATTGCACACTTTAATATCATGTAGCCCCAATTTGTAAACACTGTCCTAATATCAGTGCTGAAAGACTGTTATTATTGTTACCTAAAATGTAAAAAAAAAAAAACTATAAGTGAAATAAAAATTAATAAAAACTATATAGACATTAAAATATATATATATATATATATATATATATATATATATAATTAAATTATAAAATAGTCAAAAACAGTACTATAACTAAAATGGAAATGGAAAATATAAAAGGTAATTCAAAATATTAATGAAAACTATAATAGTATTTTTTTTGTGCTTTATCAGCATGCTAACAGTCTGTCATAGTGATTGATGCATGTATTAATGAAATAAGAGTCCCTCCTTTTGAAATCAGCTCACTGGTCTCAGCTGACCAGAAGAGACCGGTCTAAATGAACAATGTCTGTGGTGTTTTACACCCAACTCTGCACTTTTTGTTATACAGGTCAAAAGGGCATTGGCTTTAAATCAGTTTTTAAAGTCACCGACTGTCCTGAGATCCACTCCAATGGTTTCCACATCCGATTTGACAAGAACAGCGGCCCCATGGGATACATCCTGCCTCACTGGGTCGAGCAGGAGCGGCCAGGGAGCGCTGGCGCCAGAGAGATCGCAGAGCAGAGGTTAAACAAACCCACAAGATTCATAGGCCCGGTTTCACAGACAGGGCTTAGCCTAAGCCAGGATTAGCCCATAGTTCAATTAGGACATTTAAGTAATTTTTATAAACATGCCTTAGAAAAAATGCATTACTGGTGTGCATCTTAAGACAAAACAAAGGCACTGACATGTTTTAAGATCAGTCAGTGCACGTTTCTTTCAGCTGAAACAGCTCAGATTTACATTTTAGTCTAGGACTAGGTTTAAGCCTGGTCTGTGAAACCGAGGGTTAGAGTTCTCACTCTGCCAGAAAATGTGGCTAACACTTTTACTGTCAATATTACATCTACTTTCTCTAGTAATAACTGTAAATTATGCATAATTACTTGCAACTAACCCTAAACCGACCTCCAAATAGTAAGCACATGTAGTTAATTAATATTGCTCAGTACTTAAATGTATAATTGCACTGTAACAAGGACACCATAAAACAGTGCAACTAAAATATATTGAAAATTAGAAAGTTTTTTTTTAATGCATTTATTTGTTTAATTAATTAAATTATTTATTTTTTAAATGTATTTAATATTTATTTAATTTTTAATATTATTAAAATATTTTTATTTTATTTGTATTATTTTATTTAGAAATTTTATTTTATGTTGGCTGTTTTGGTTTGCAACCTGCTTAAAGCTACTAAAGTTCAGACATCACAGTTGCCTTTTTGTTTGCGTCGTTGTTATGAAACGGCTCTTTGGTGTCTATTTTTATTCTAGATGGGCTACAAAGATCCACCTGCCCCTGCGCTCCGAGAGCTACCAGACTAAAAACCTCTTCCATGACGTTCATCCCTCTCTCCTGCTCTTCCTCCATCGCCTTCGCTCCATCATCATCTTCAATGAGGTGAAGACCTGCTTCATGCATCACCACCCAAAAACAACTCCTCCTATTAACCCTAGAAAGCCTGCTGTATTATATTTGAAACTGTTAAAGCTGTCACACACAATCTACTCCATGCCTTCTGTCGTCTGATTGATATTTTAAAGCTTTTTATGAAGTAAAAGCTCTTTTAGTGTAATTGTGCAAACGTCCAGCTTCAGCTGGTGCTTCACGTGTCTTTTCTCTGTCAAATCTTGACTGATTTTTATCAGGTAAACGTCAGAATAACTGTAGTAATATTTCCAGATGAGCACTTACTGGACTGAAGCAGCTCAGCTTCACTTGATTCTCCAATCAGTTTTTAGAAAAATCAGTGCGTCTCAAATCTGGAACATTTATTTGTTCATCCCTCAATCATCATTGGATTGCATTGCATTATGATTTGATCATTTAAATCTCATCTTACTAGACATATTATTGGATATATAGAGTACTGACTGATTTATATAATTTTACCTAAGTATCTGCTATACTATTATAAAGATCTTATTGATTCACAAGCATCAGAATTTAATCATAAATATCAGCATCTGCACCAAATTGCATATTTGTGCTCAATATGAGTCTCTGAATAAAACTGAGCTCAATATATTAGAGCCAAAAAAGCCTGATGCATCAATGATATTTTGTCCATGTTTTGTTTGTATTTTGACTATTATTTCATATGTCAGACTTTACAAGTGCTTTAATCTTCAGGCTGAGAAGCGTTTGGTGTCGATGACGCGCCGTGATCTGAGCCATAACATCCTGGAAGTAGCACACACTGGTGGAGAAGAGCGTTGGCTAGTGATCAAGAGAATGCTTTATCCTAAAAAGGCAAGTGTTGCGCACATTTATGTCGTCATGTATGGGGAAATGCACTAAATCTAAGGGTAGAAGTGAGCCTTGCTTCTGTATTGTTTACCTGCGTCCTTGTCCCAGTTTTACCATCTTTTAATTGGCCTCTGTTCGGTTCTCATGACATGGCGTCTTATAAGACGCTGCTTTAATGTGTTTGGGGACGTTATGCAAGTGTTCTGTGCTTTATATCTCTGGGGAACGAAGTGTTTTTCGCTCTCGTCTCATTCAAACTGATTAGTAAAGTGCAGTTTGTTCCCTTTGTTCTCAGAAGCAGCAGAGATTCACTGCACTTTCTGTCCGTCTCCTTTATGAAATTTATTTTACCTGTAGTTTTAGTACTTTGTTGACTCGAGACATACTTTGTAAGGCACAGAAATGCATTTTAAAGGCTAGTACACACTAAAAAAACTAACTGCAACTGTTGAGATATTTTAAAACGTTGATCAAAAGTGACAGTAAAGACATTAATAATGTTAAAATAGATTTCTATTTCAGTTAAACGCTGTTCTTTTGAACTTTCTATTCATCTGTGAATCCTGACAAGGCCCAATGGAACAGCCCTGCAAACCCCAGCTACATCCCTGGCAGCAAGTCTCGATACTTGCTTTGCAGCAGCACATCTGTTCCTCCAAGACCAAATACATTAACATTGTCATGTACATAACCATGCCAATCCCTCCGAGAGTTGTCATGACAGAAATAAGTTTAACCAAATAATTCAATCAATCAGTGCTGCTCAAAGGTGGCATTTATGTATTTACACAACAGCTGCATAATGTAATTAGCCTGCATAAAGCATATTAATTTACTGTAGTTTTAGTACTTTGTTGACTCGAGACATACTTTGTAAGGCACAGAAATGCATTTTAAAGGCTAGTACACACTAAAAAAACTAACTGCAACTGTTGAGATATTTTAAAACGTTGATCAAAAGTGACAGTAAAGACATTAATAATGTTAAAATAGATTTCTATTTCAGTTAAACGCTGTTCTTTTGAACTTTCTATTCATCTGTGAATCCTGAAAAATAAAATGTGTCATGGTTTTCACAGAAATATTCAACAGCACAACTGTTTTAACATTAATATTAATCAGAAATGTGTCTTGAACAGCGAATGTGCATATTAGAATGATTTCTGAATGTGACACTGTGGACTGGAGTAATGAAGCTGAAAATTCAGCTTTGATCACAGGAATAAATTATGTTTTACTATATATTCACATAGAAAACCGCTATTTTAAATTGTAATAATATTTTACAATTTTTACTGTATTTTTAATCAAATACATGCAGCTGTGGAAAGCAGAAGAGACTTCTTTCAACAAATCTTACAAAAAAAAAAAAAAAAATCTTACAGACCCCAAACTCTTAGTTTTTTTTATTCATTTTTTTTAAATTTATAAATTAGAGGAAATTAATTAAATTTTTCCCTGTTTTATACATGTAAGTTATCTTTGTCGTCCTATAATGATCACTTAATAACCTTAATAACAACCTTGCTAAATGTAATTCAGGAAATCTCTTAATTAATATCTATTTTTTTGTACTCTACATTATAATGATGTGATGCTTAAATTTAGAGATGCTCTTGAAGCACTTAATGATTCATTTTAATAAATATATATATATACAGGTGCATCTCAAAAAATTAGAATATCATGGAAAATTAAAAAACAGGAACTCAATACAGGGTAGGGCTGCAATATTATGACAAAAATCATTATTGTCGATTATTGCTGTTGATATGTTGATTAATTAAATACATAAATGTGTTTGTGGAAAAAGGCACGTCACATTCTCTGCACAGACAAAACAAGCTAAGAACTGTTTATCAATTAGTTAGTTTTTTATGCATTAGAAAACCGAGGCTTCGCATTAGTTATTTTAATAGCATGACAAACAAAACGGTTATTCAAACTGGGAATAAATTATATTCAGAGAGAAGGTTCCAATATAGAAGGTTGATTTTAAATTGTAATAATATTTTACAATTTTTACTGTATTTTTAATCAAATACATGCAGCTGTGGAAAGCAGAAGAGACTTCTTTCAACAAATCTTACAAAAAAAAAAAAAAAAATCTTACAGACCCCAAACTCTTAGTTTTTTTTATTCATTTTTTTTTTATTTATAAATTAGAGGAAATTAATTAAATTTTTCCCTGTTTTATACATGTAAGTTATCTTTGTCGTCCTATAATGATCACTTAATAACCTTAATAACAACCTTGCTAAATGTAATTCAGGAAATCTCTTAATTAATATCTATTTTTTTGTACTCTACATTATAATGATGTGATGCTTAAATTTAGAGATGCTCTTGAAGCACTTAATGATTCATTTTAATAAATATATATATACAGGTGCATCTCAAAAAATTAGAATATCATGGAAAAGTTCTTTATTTTTTGTAATTTAATTCAAAAAGCAAACTTTTTATATTCTAGATTCATTGCACACAAACTGAAATATTTTTCTTTTCAAAGTATTTTTTTAAATTAAGTTACAAAAAATAAAGAACTTTTCCATGATATTCTAATTTTTTGAGATGCACCTGTGTATGTATATATATATATATATATATATATATATATATTTCATCCAAGGCCTAATTTATAAATATTTTTTTATTTTATTTAGCCAAAATAGTATAGTTGCATTCCTATATTATATATAATTATAGAAAAAGTTATATAACAGGATGTTTCAGCATGTTTTTTTTTTAAATCTTGATGTCTCTAGTTTCTACCTTGACATTGACACATGATCGCTGCTTGTCTTCAGCATGTGTCTGTGTTTCTGAGTAGATTAAAGAAGACGTGGAGTCGACAGAATTGGCTCTGGCGTTCCAGCTCAGTGGCTCGTCTCCCTGTGATGTGAAGCCTCAGAAACAGCCCGTCTTTGCCTTTCTTCCACTTCGCAGCTTCGGTTTCCGTTTCATCATCCAAGGTTTGACACGTGCATATGTGCATCACAGTTATCCGTCTACCTGATGTTGTCACGTTTATTGAGTCACATCAGTCACACATTAGGTAATTGCTAAGTTAGTGTAGTTTAACTTGAAGTAATAAAATAACTAAATCAACTAAAACTAATAATCAGTGTTATTTTGGTGTCATTCATATTATTATTATAGTTTTTATCGTATTATGGTTCATATTTTGAATTTTATATATATATATATATATATGTGTGTGTGTGTGTGTGTGTGTGTTTTTTGTCATTTTAATTAGTCATTTCTTTTAATATTTATATAGTTTTTATTAGGTTTAATGTTGAAATGAAGCTGAAATCAAATACATTTGTTTTTATTTTATTTCATTTCATGTTAAATTTGTTAAGTACTTAACATTTATGGTTTTGTCTTTAGTTCTAGTTTTAGATTTTGTTAGGGTTTAGTTAATGATAATAACCCTGACAATAAATAAAAATTAATACAAACTGTTCATATAGACATATAAAAAAAAAACTACTAAAAACGAAACAAAAAAAATAGACGACAACACACACCGAAACTTTAAATTAAATAAAAGTGCAATCAGAAAATACTATGATATATACATACTATGATAACATTGGTCACGCTGTGTTCCCCGTTGTAGGTGATTTTGACATCCCTTCCTCCAGAGAGGATGTGGACAGAGACAGTTCCTGGAACCAGTGGCTTCGCTCTGAGATCCCGCAGCTGTTTGTACACGCCATGGATGTCTTCAATGTAAGAACGGAGTGGAATATGATGTTCCTCCATTAATTTGCATGCATTTGCATTTAAACTCCAGCTTCAGATGAAGGTCAAGGCTCACAGTCTGTTTAAGGAGCTGCTTTTAGCATGAAAAAAGAAAAAAAAATGGCATTGGCTTTCTTTATGCGGCATCCAAATGAAAATTTCTAGCCCTAATGAGCACATGCAATGTCAATCCCACAGCAACACCCAGAGTTCAGCGGGCTCGGCGGCCTCTGTTACTTCATGCAGTTCATCCCTCAACCAAGTGAGATCCTGGACTTCTTCAACCCAGTGGCCAATCAGATCATTCAGCTGCTGAAGGGCAAAGCTTGCCTTCCTGCCAAAGAGGACAGCGGTAGGTACCAGAGTTTCCTTTAAGGCACAATATTTGCCCCTTGGAATTGATTTAATCTGCTTTTTTTTTTACCTTTGTTGGGGTAAAATGTTATAATTACCTTATTAAATGTGTATGCAATGTTTATTTTTTTGTTTTTTTTTGTCAAATACATAGAGTTCTGGCATGAAACTCTAGATGGCGCAGTCTGATAGGTCTAACTCAATCTGACCTAATGACATCATTATCACATGGCACAGCTGATTGGTTCTCTCCTGTATCGGTAGCCAATGAGCTCGCTGCTCAAAATTCAAATATATGACTTGTGCTTGCCGTAGC